TACTTTATAGCAGTGAAACGTGGCCGGTAAGAGCAGAGGATATTCGTAGGTTACTAGTATTTGACCATAGGTGTCTTCGAAACATTGCTCGTATATCTTGGGACCATCGAGTAAGTAACGCAGTTGTCAGGAAACGAGTACTAGGTAAGGATGGCAAATCAATTGATGATGTAGTGGAACTTCATCAGTTGAGATGGCTGGGACATGTGTGACGTATGCCCAACCACCGACTGCCTCGACGTGTGATGTTCAGTGGTATAGGAGTAGGTTGGAAGAAAGTCTATGAAGTCACTGACAAGTGGACTGAGTCATGTTGGTAGGTGTAGACTACGTGGTTGGGGACCGCGTGATGATTGCAACCGATGGTTAGAGACCCTGAATGACATGGCTCAAAATCGTTTGCAATGGCGCAGATGCATACACTCTTTGTGTTCTCCCAAATTCTAATCTTCTGAATTCTTCATGTCCCTTTTTTTTTCTCTTTCCAAATTTATTTCACTGTATTATACTCCTTGAATAACATCTTCAAATCCTAATTTTTCTGATTACAGCTTATAATTTTATTACATCTAGCACTACGGGATTTGAATTGACCACTGCATCTCTGTGCTAATGTGGTATGGCAACTCGAACTGATGTATGTACGTACGAAGTTCTACTTTGTTACTGACTGACATATAATTGCATGTTTGTAAGCAAATTATAAGTGTATCAGTCAGTCAGTCAGCTACAACGTAAGACTAGGCACATATATGCATCGGTCCAAGTTGCCATACCTCATTAACACAACAAGATGGACACTGGATTTATAAAAGTAGTTAATTCAGAGGTGGTAATATATATAAGAAAGATTGCATATAAGGGTGTAGTACACGAAGAAAGAATCAGTTCGTAGAAAGAAAGATATGGAGCGATTTTAATCTCTTAGTTTAAGGGAAGACAGAGAGTGTATACACCGACGCCATTGTGATCGATTGTGAGCCATGTCACCCACAGTCTCCAACCATTGGTTACGACAGTCACGCGGACCCCAACCAAGTAGTCTGCATCTACCAACATGGCTCAGACTAGAAGTTAGTGACTTCAAGCACTGATGATACGCTTTGATTTGGCCACCCGTAACTTTCTTCCAACCATCCCCAACACTAATCAATATTGCGCGTCGTGGTAATTGGTGTTCAGGCATGCGCAACACGTGGCCCAACCATCTCAGTCGATGAAGATTCACAACCTCATCAACTGATTTACCATCATTCCGTAATACACTGCGTCTAACCTCACTATTACTTACCCGGTGATCCCAGCAGACGCCAGCAATATTTCTGAGGCATCTGTGGTCAAATACTAGTAGCTTACGAGTGTCTTCTACTCTTAATGGCCATGTTTCGCTACCGTAAATTAAAACAGAACGGACTGCCGCGCAGTATGCTCGTCCTTTTATTGATAGACGGATATCTCGCCTTCGCCATAGGTGACGTAAGTTGGCAAAAGCCAAACGAGCTTTTCGAATCCGTGCTGAGATTTCATCAGACACCAACCCATTAGGGCTGATCAGACTTCCAAGATAAGTGAAGTTGTCAACGCGTTCGACTACTTCACTCCCTATTCTTAGTTCAGGTGTTGACACAGATCAGTCCTGAAGCAGCAACTTGCATTTAGAGGGAGAGAAGCGCATTCCAAACATTCTGGCATTGTTGCTTAGTGCGACCAAAACACTCTGCATTTTATCAGCGTCTTCACCAAACAGGACTATATCATCTGCGTATTCTAAGTCGATAAGTGGACCTCCTGGAAGGAGATCAATACTCGAGAATTCAGTAGACGAGAATGTTATTTCCATCAATAGGTCTATGATTAAGTTAAACAAAAATGGAGAAAGTGGACAGCCTTGACGGACACCACTTGAGGTTGCAAAAGTAGATGACAGTTCGCCATAAGCCCTGACTCGACTAGTAGTGTTCGAGTAAAGAGCCTTCACAAGGTTTATGTACTTCTGGGGTACGCCTTTCAATGACAGACACTGCCACAGAATCTCGCGGTCTACAGAGTCAAATGCTGCTTTTAAGTCAAGAAAGACCACCATTGTTGGACGCCGATAAGTACGCTTGTGTTCTAGAACCTGACGAATGGTGAATATATGGTCGATGCAGCCACTACCAGGTCTGAAGCCAGCTTGATTCTCTCGTGTTTGCAGTTCACGAGTCTTAGTTAAGCGTCTGATAATTATCGAGGCTAGTATTTTAGATACTATATTAGTTAAACTAATCCCTCTATGGTTGTCACAGGATGATTTTGACTCTCTCTTATATATTGGGACGATAAGTGATTGTGACCATTCAGATGGAACAACGTCTAATTCCCAGATCTTAGCTAAAATATTAGTCAACCTAATCGCTAAAATTGGACCACCATCCTAAAAAGACTTCTGGAGCCAATCCATCTGGACCAGCTGCCCTTCCTCGTTTCAGATTAACTATAGCCTTTTGAACTTCTGCTAGAGTTAGGGGACCTACTTCAATGTTCCATTCACACTGTCTGGTAATGGTGGGTAGTTGTAGAGTAAATGAAGGCCAGCTGAACTGTTCTCTGAAATGTTCCACCCATCGTTCTAAACGTCTGGACTGAGAGCAGATGAGTGTCGTCTTTTTCCGAAATAGTCTGATTTACACTTGATTTATTAATTCCAGTTTCTTTTATTAGTCTGTAGAGCTGTCTTGTGTTCCCTATAGCCGCCGCCTTTTCTATCTCGTTTGTTTTCGTTGCCCACCACTGCTCACAGTTGTTCCTTAGACTTTTTCTTAACCTAGATCTGATTTGTTGTCGCTCTTCATCGTGTTCAGAGCCTGATGGGATGAGTTTACGAGAATCCATCAGTGCAATAGACCTAGAGGAAATCCATTGGTTTTTTGTAACCCTGTGGTTTAAATCACAAATAGATGTCACCGCTGTTTCCACAGCTGTTTGTATAGCTTTCCAAGCAACATCTGGGTCACCCTCGTTTTCAGAACTACCTAAGTGTGACCTCAGTTGTTCCTGGAGCCTACTTTTGGTTTTCTCGCTACTCAATTCAGTTCTAATGGGTCTTTTTACTGAGGCTTTTTTGCGTCCAGTGAGGCGCAAGCAGATGCGTGCCCGTATTAGGGCATGGTCGAGGTCCAAGCAGGTACTCCAGAATGAGCGACAATCTTGTACCGACCCTCTCCAACGATGACTGATGGCAATATGGTCTATTTGAGTCCATCGTTGGTTTGGTGTAGGGGGTCGCCATGTTAGACGATGTCTCTCCTTATGCTTAAAATTTGTGTGTGCTAAAAATAAACGATTGTCTGAGCACACGGAGGGTGTATCTCGTCGGGTCTCCGTTTTGCCGAGGTGAGGTCAAGTGAATGACCGCACTGGGATCCTGTATGCCTGTTTCAGAGACACAGCATACATCAATGGTATGAGATTCTAGGGTTCTAGCCAAGGAAGCCTGTTGACCGATTTGACATAGGGTGCGTACATTGAAGGCTCCAATGTGTAGTTTGGAGCGAGGTTTCAGTAGACCTGGGACAGTGTTTTGAGCATTAGTATCGTTGGCTATGGTGACATTTGAGGAGGAAGCCGAAAGAAGAAATTTAGAGTTGAAAGTCGATGTAAGAGGAATAATAGGAAGTGAAGACAGAGGTTGATTATGAATACAGTGGTCTTGAGTGCTGTTAGAGGTATGAGGGCGGTTATCATTTCCCGGATGCCCACACCGTGGAAGGGTTGTTCTGGAGGTACCTGAAAAGGAAATTGGATTAGAGGTGGTCTTAGTAACCTGGGAGCGTGACCGCAGTGCTCAAGGGACAACTGCTTGAGGTCAGTCACACACGACCTTTTTGTGTTAGCTCCTTACTTGTTGAGACCCTACCGCCGGAGATGAGTATCTGTGGGATAAGGTGAGGTGTGCATTTTTGTGGTCGACCTTCTCTAACCCCACCCCTCCTTGTGGGAAGGCAGCATCGCTGTTATGCTGGTTGTCTGAAGGAAACACCTTACTGCTGTCACACCTCTGTACAGTCAGCAGTACGACTTCGCCTTCGGACCTTGGGTTTGTTGCTTTAAGCCTTACCGCTCTTCAACCGACCTGTCTGACATGGTAGGACCTTGAGGAACAGTTTTTCCAGCCAGTATAGCTTGGTTGCTTCATCACGATGGGCAAGCCCGATCACCATACCTGACAACCACGTCATGATAGCAACAACGGTCGGGGCATTAGTTTGTAATTGCTTCGGTCTGGGCACCCGAGAATTATCACAGCCCACACACAAATCAAGTGACTTGTGTAGCTCATGTGTATTCAGTGCCCCTTTGTACCAATATTTATGTGTTCAAATAAATAGATATTAAATAATAATTGTTTAAAGTGCGATCTATCATTTTTCTCAATATAAATCAACTGATAGTGTATCATGATTTCTTTTCGCTGATATTATATTATTTACTATTATCCATAAAGTTTGAGGAATTCACTGAGATTTCTAATAAAAAGACAACAGAGTTGCTCGAATCAATAACCAAATAGTGGTTTATTTGTGTGCTAGAATTTGAGTCACTCCTACTGGTACTCCTTATTTGTCTAGACTGAAATTAAGTTAAGGAAAACAACCCTTTGGATAAAAAAAATCAATATAGTCTACTCTGATTGTCAATGATTATCAAATCGGGATTAATACTAACCTAGTTAAACTCATTTGCCAGGTATGAATTCATTTATTTGTCTCCGAGCCATACTATAAGTATGCATGCTAATGAGTGATACGACCTAGTTGCACAAACCGAAGCCAGGGCTCGAAGTCGTCGCCTTGTGGCTAAGAGTTGAATGGCCTTACACACTGAGTTACTGCTTTACAAATGCTGTCTAGCTCATTATTTCACGATTCATTTGAAGTATAATTTCCTATTTGATGTGATATTCTTCCTTTTATTTTGCTTTTTACTTTTCTTTTTTCTTTGTAACTTTCAAAATAATATAGTCAATAAGTCGTCAATATTTACATCTTATTGTCAGTGAAAAATTAGAGAATAGTTTGCTAAATCAAATTCAATTGTCCAATGATTTTATTCATCGGGCCCGATTGGATAGTGGAAATGTATTAGTGTGCAGGTAAGCTATATATTTGATATATATATATATATATATATATATATATATATGCTCTCTCTCTCTCTATATATATATATATATACCTTGGTACGGCTGAGGGCATTGCTCTCTCGTGACCCTTACTTGGTCACGTGTATACAGCCTCTGCCAGGGAAGTTCTACTCACTGCCTTCTCGTGGGATTACTGTTGTTTACGAAATTGAGAAGACGAAAAGCGAATGCCCGACGCTTGGATCAGATTAGTGGTTCAGTCTTGAGTGCTATTAGAGGTATGAGGGCGGTTATCACTCCCGGGTTTCCCACACTGTGGAAGGGTTCTTCTGGAGGTACCTGAAAAGGAAATTGGATTAAATGTGGTCTTAATGACTTGAGAGCGTGATCGCAGTGCCCAAGGGACAACTGCTTGAGGTCGGTCACATACGACCCTTTTATGGGTAATTTTTGTGTTAGCTCCGTACTTGTTGAGACCCTACCGCCGGAGATGAATATCCGTGGGATAAGGTGAGGTGTGCATTTTTGTGGTCGACCTTCTCTAACCCCACCCCTCCTTGTGGGAAGGCAGCATCGCTGTTATGCTGGTTGTCTGAAGGAAACACCTTACTGCTGTCACACCTCTGTACAGTCAGCAGTACGACTTCGCCTTCGGACCTTGGGTTTGTTGCTTTAAGCCTTACCGCTCTTCAACCGACCTGTCTGACATGGTAGGACCTTGAGGAACAGTTTTTCCAGCCAGTATAGCTTGGTTGCTTCATCACGATAGGCAAGCCCGATCACCATACCTGACAACCACGTCAAGATAGCAACAACGGTCGGGGAAATAGTAGTTACACAGGATCCAACCAAGAGAGTTGGCGAATCCTGTTTCCAAACCAATCTTACACATGGGCTCTAGTATCAAATGGCGTATGAACCTATTATTGGTCACTGGCTACCATGAGACTGCATCTCTCGACGTTGCCCCACTGCCTTGTGGATCAGACCTTTAGGTCGAAGGCTTAGGGTGTTGCCTCTAAAGAAAATCACCTGCTTCGATCTGGGCACTCTGTCAGTATCACAGCCCACACACGAATCAAGTGACTTGTGTGGCGCATTTGTCTTCGGTACCCTTTTGTACTAATATTTATGTGTTCAAATAAATATAAATAAATAAACGTTTATCAACTTCTGCGCCTGCTTACGACTCATTGATTGTTATTGAAAATACCATACTTAGTAATAAGAAAATAAGTTTGTATGCTCAGTTTTAAACCACATACATTTTGGGACCACTAAGGATATTACTTGGTCATTACAACCACTGTAGTTAATCAAACATGATTTGAACTTGTGAGCTCATGTTAATTAAAAGTAAAATGCTTTACACATTACATTATCGCCTTAAATCTTCTGTTTCAAATATAATATCTAATAAACATTATATGTTTCCAAGAAATCAATATAACCTCATTTCTCTAGTTGGTACCTATCGATTGTTCTGGCTATTATGAGTTATTAAATAACATTTTGATTAAATTGTTTAAATCGTGCTTAATTTAGATAGTTCTAATGTGTATATAAGGTTAATGCACAACACTGAATGAAAACTAGTATGTCGATATTTGTTTAAAATTATCCATCTGTACAACCATTGAAGATGGTTTCACAAAATTGCCAATTGATTGAAATTAGAAATGTAAACTATCGGCTACTAACTCACTAATTTAAAGGTTGAACATTCATTACCAGACCTAGTGATCTTATGTTCCATCCCCGGTAGGGTAATGGACATTGATTTCAAAGTGGTCGCATAGTATGACAACATAGTTGTTCAGTGTTTCCTGGTTTGTAATTATTATGACTTTTGCCTCTATCAGTTATCGCGTGACAGAATCACCAGTCATGATACTGACTTATGTGATCTTGTTCTTGTTCTAAACCAGTGATACGTCAAGTAGCACTAGCAACCCTGCGTCAACTCTGAAACCTTATTGGTCTTCGCGTAGCCCTTCCCGCTGAGTCCGGCAATCAATCTTAACCTCCACTGTATGATTAGTGTATATCAAACATACGTAGTTTATGTACAAGCAAATGAGACTGCAAAATACTATAGAGTAGAAGATAACAATTATACAAGATCAAACCAAAATGTGGCTGTGAGTGTAAAAAAATCTGTAACTAATAGATTGGGAATAAGTTAAGAATGGTAAATCGTATTGTAGGTTAATTGAATGCTTATGATAAAAGGAATATATATATATATATATATATATAATAACAGTATTAATAGTTCCCGGAAGTTATCCATTATTTAATCTTCTTCGAATACAACAGTAATGTTTATTAAACTATCATCGTTTGTTGGTGTAAACTATAAAGATTGATATCCTGTCATGTTTCTGTTGGGATGCTGTTACAAGAATGAATCCAACATATAACTAGATTGATTGAACGACTCATACAGAACAATGACACTTCAATGATTTCATAAAAATGAACATTAGCTATAAAAACGAAAATTAAACTTTATAAAATAATTATTTACTTCAAGTAAACTCAATGAAATTAGCAAACACTACTCAATACATTTATACAGTATTTTACATAATCGTGGGAAAAACATCTGTCAATATTTGATGATTGGTTATTACTGAGAATTGGGATGTTGTGACTGGTGTCACTGTCTAGTTGATGAGCCTGAATAGCAGAATGATATAATAAATATGCTACTACAGGAAGTTTTTGGAGATTGCTAAATTTCATAGGTTACATCATAGACTAACGTTAGTTAGACAGCCGTCGAAATTTAGATAGTACTGAACAGCTGTCTCGTCCCAGTTCACGACTTCTCAGCTGTACACAATCTCGACCTCAGTTGGGTTAATACCAGTTATCTTTAGGTCTCATGGTGAATGCTTAACTTTCAAACATCCGGTCAAGCTTTCAATAGTTTGCATGTTTAGTTTATCAATACGAGATTATCGTCAATTATCTTTTAATACTTGAGTTCAATCCTATATGCAGTCGTGGATAGGTACTACGAAATAGTCTTATACTAGGATGAAATAACTATCCAATGCTTTCTGACTTTTAACAGTTGCTCAACCAAGATTATATAAAAACTTTATTAAACACTATAAGCAAAGATAAATTGTAGCTAGCAATGGAATCCATGACGTGCGTTTCGTTCTATTTTGGGGCTCATCGGTTGAATGTGCCTAGATCCAAGGGTTCATGTTCATTCTGTGACTTGAACTCAATACTGTTCGCTTCAAATGCCATCACATTCTCCACTTAATTACTGAGTTCATATAGCCACTAACTTTTGCAATGGGTTAAAATTGTAATTCATTTTTGTATTGATTGTTTATTAAACAATTTTTTTTGTTGAAAATTTTTCTTTTTTTAATTAGTGATTCAGGTCTATCAGCTAATGTAGCTGTTGTTACAGCTTATTTAATGACTGTTTATTCATTAGATTATTATTCAGCTATTGGAGCTTTAAGAAGTTTACGATATGGTGCACATCCAGTTGAACCTTTACAAAAACAATTAATAGAATTTGATAGTGAAACTAATGAAAAATTAGTTAATAAACAAAATCATACAAATAACACTCATCGAGAACAACAACAACAACAGACTGAATTATTAGATTCTTCTAAACATCCATTGAATTCCATAATGTATCTAACTATCACATCAGCATCAGAACGTGAACGATTGAATTCAATTTACGGTGAATGGCCATATCTTGAAGTATGTTTTCTTTTTTTTCTTTTACTTTATTATATAATAATCGATCATTTTTATCAAGTGTATCTTCCAGTTAACTTGTCTAGATTTCTTCAGGATAAATAATCGAAATTAAAATAGTCCATGTTATATAATCAAATCTAGACACTAAGTGATTATGCAATCCTATTAGGAAATGAATTGGCTTTAATTGTTTGCATAATCTAAGTCAGTTAAATGTGAATCATGTGAAAAGTTCACAATGTCAATTGAAATGAATGATTGTGTGTGTGTGTGTGTGTGTGTGTGTGTGTGTGTGTAAGTTCGAATAAATAATAGTTAATATTTAGTGTTAATTTGTTTAAATTTTCTTTTGAAACGTTTATTTGTATATGGTCAGTCAGTCAGTCAGCTACAACGTAGCATCAGGCACGTATGTTCATCGGTCGAACTTGCCATACTTTATTAGCACAGCAAGATGAACACTGAATTCATAGAAGCAGTTACTTCAATTGTAGTGATATATGAAAAAAAAACGTTTGTGTACATGGATATAGTACAGGAAGAAAGAATTAGTTCAAAGAAAGGAAGATATGAAGCGATTTTATTCGCATAATTTAAGGGAATACAAGGAGTGTATACACCGACGCCATTGTGATCGATTCTGAGCCATGTCACCCACAGTCTCCAACCATTGGTTACGATAGTTAAGCGGACCCCAACAAGATAGTCTGCATCTACCAACATGGTTCAGACTAGAAGTTAGTGACTTCAAGCACTGATGTCACGTTTTAGTTTGGCCGCCCCTAACTTTCTTCCAACCATCCCGAACGCCGGTTAGCATTGCACGTCGTGGTAATCGGTGTTCTGGCATACGCAACACATGGTCCAACCATCTCAGTCGATGAAGATTCACAAACTCATCAACTGATTTACCATCATTCCGTAATACACTGCGTCTAACCTCACTATTACTTACCCGGTGATACCAGCAGATGCGAGCCATATTTCTAAGACATCTGTGGTCAGGTACTAGTAGCTTACGAATATCTTTTACTCTTAGTGGTCACGTTTCACAGTCGTGAAGCAAAACAGAACGAACTGCCGCATAGTATATTCGTTCTTCAGTTGATGGACAGATATTTCATCTTCGCCATAGGTGATGTAAGTTGGCAAAAGCCAAACGAGCTTTTCGAATCCGTGCTGAGATTTCGTCAGACACCAACCCATTAGGTCTGATCAGATTTCCAAGATAAATGAAGTTGTCAGCGCGTTCACTCCCTATCCTTAGTTCAGGTGTTAATGCAGATCAGTCCTGAAGCAACAACTTGCATTTAGAGGGAGAGAAGCGCATTCCAAACATTCTGGCGTTGTTGCTCAGTGCTACCAAAAGACTCTGCATTTTATCAGCGTCTTCACCAAATATGTGAAATAAATATGTTGGATAGAGATAGGGTTTGATTACTTGTTAATGAACATTTGCCATGTGGTAGCTAGTTGAATACCATTTTTCCTGTTGAGTTTTTCGTTATTAGCTCATATATACGGCGCTTCTGCTGCCAATCCTTTTGTATGCATGATAAATCCTTTCTGAAGTATTTTAATCTCTTCAAATTTATTCTTGTGTCCTGTTTCCAATGCATATAACTTTATCGCCGACCTATTCTCAAGTTTCTATAAATCATCCGAGGTTTAGGAACATATTTCAAACACTGATTGTGTTCTTTCAAACTCACATTCAATTATCCCGAATAAGCTTCACTTCAGTCATAACAATTGATCTCATAGACAACATTCTATTGTTTTTTCTTCTTTGGAAACCTCTCCTTAACTTTCATTAATGATGATCCTATACTATCACTAGGCCGAAAATACACTCTTATATATTATATATTCCTCACCATTTCTTTCGATGCTTTTTTTTCACGGCACGAGATGATCATAGTTTTCTTCCATAATATTCTCTTCTAATATTTGGTTCCCAATTTCTGTCAAACTATTCATTTAAATATTGACAAATACTTTTATACATTGGTAACATTTATTCTTCCTTTCATTCTTTTCTTTTTGGTTTGTGTTTGTGCTTGTTTTTTCTTCTTGTTCATTATAAAATTTCAATAGGACAATCAAAAGAGATAAAATTATAGCTTCACAAACATATGATCTATTTATGATATCGCTCATACTTTTGATCAATCTAATCACACTACTAACTGTTAAGTCATTCTGTTTTTTAGGAAAATTTATAAAAAATGATGAAATAAATAAAATTTCTAATAAACACAAGGTGATAATTGTAAATAAAGAAGAGAAAATTGATTGAATATGTAGAAGAATATGAAATTATCACATCACTTTGGGGTGTAAAATCAGTCAGTCTGGAGTGGTGTTAGAGGTATGAGGGCGGTTATCACTTCCCGGTTGCCCACACCGTGGAAAGATTCTTCTGGAGGTCTCTAACCATCGGTTGCTATCGTCTCGCGGATCCCAACCGGGTATTCTACACCTATCAACATGACTCAGTCCGCTTGTCAGTGACTTCATGGTTTTGTGCCATGTTTTGGTCTGGCCACCCCTAGCTTTCTTTCAACCTACTCCTATACCATTGCGCATCGCACGTCGAGGCAGTCGGTGGTTGGACATACGTAACACATGTCCCAGCCATCTCAACTGATGAAGTTTCACAACAACGGTCGGGAGTGTAAAATGGCTTGAAGATTACCTAGGGACAATTAATTCCGGCTCATGATAAGTTGTTTTTGTACAAATAATGGATGAGTCTAAATTTGTGTATAGGCAAAACTTTTCTAAACCTAATTATTCATCCTTCACGATTTCTATATGACATTTTTAAAGGTTAATTGATGTTAATTCTACGATTTATTTCAGTGATATGTAAAACAATTAGTCACCATCATCCTCTATTGCTAAACATATAATTGAAACAGATCACAAGATTGATCTAAATTCAGCTTTCGTACTGTTGTATAAAAGTGTAAAAGGGCGTAAACTAAGGTTTATTGAAGCCTAAGCCATACGAAAATTCAAACCCCCTTTGTGTGTTCAAAAACAGTTTGTTCTTACCTTAAACCTACACTGGTAATATTGACTTATTATCCAGAGTGATTAGGTTACGAATTGTGTTCACATTATTGTTATTATTATTGTTATTATTATTATTATTACTCTTATCATTATCCTTATCTCCTCTTACCCCGTTTCCAGTCTAGTTGACCTTTTATTTATATGTATAAATGCTCTTATCAAGTATATGTGTGATCAGATTGTTCGAAATGTATTGCACTAATATATTACATAGTTCTGATAATCTTCGTCTTCTAATTACATTATCGAAATCAATGGTATATTTTGCTATCGATGAACATGACTTTCTACTTCCTATATTTATCGGAGTTATTCGACATTAAGATGACTGGTTTATTCACAATTAGATAATTAGAAGGAATATTGAACTATATGAATGGCTACATCAGTTCAAGTAGCCATAACTCGTTAACGTAGAGACTTGAAATTCTGAGGTCAAATTCCAGAATGGTAGAGTTAGTAACAGTATGCATATTAATTTAAAAGATAAGATGTCAAAGATGCGATTCAAGAAATTATAAATTAGTGAAATAAAAACACAAAAACTAGTTATGAGGAATTCAGGAGTTCAGAATTTGGAGGAAGACAAAGAATGGATGCACCTGCACCATTGCAAATGATTTTTGAACCATGTCATTCGAAGTCTCTAATCGTTGGTTACGACAATCACGTGGACCCCAACCAGGTAGTCTATACTCATCAACATGGGTCAGTCCAATGTTCAATGACTTTATGGACTGATATCATTTCTTGGTTTGACCGCCTCTAGCTTTCTTCCATCCGACTTTTATGTATAGTCTTGAATGAAATATACAAAGTATACAATTTGAAGCATTAAATACATCGATCTACATGCAAATTGTGTCATTTTTTTTATTTTTTTTTACTATTTTTTAAATCAAGGAAGATTTACAAATTCTTCATACTGCTTTAAATTCTCACTTGAATTCAACTGAAGAGTCAGAATTTCTATTTAATAATGAATATGATAAAACTATACAAAATGACAAAGAATATGATGTTGATATTGATAATAATGAAAATAATCCAACTAATACTCGTACTACTGTAGTAGTAGCTACTGTTAAAGATAATCATATTAATCCTAGTATACATGGTATCAGTGATACTTCTTCAATTCTCAGTGTTATTGAACACATTAAGGATCATGGTAGCCTAACTGATTCAGCGTCAATACAATCTAATTCAAAATATTTGGATAAACGACAAGATAATACAATATTGAGTAATAATGATAACAATAATAATAATAATACTGATGACGATGAAGATGGTTGTGGTAGTGTTGGTGTTTGTGGAAATGATCTAGATAGTATACCGTTTGTAACTGTTCCGATAAATGGTGTCCTTATATCAGGTTAGTTTAATATTCTATTTAAAACAATTAGTCCCCTTGATATATTTGGATGATTCGATAAGAAGACGAAGGTTATCAGAATTATATCATATATTTATGCAATACATCTCAAACAATCGGATCATACATATACACTTGTTAAGTACACTTATATATGAGAAATTAAATGGTAAGCGGAAACATAGATGATAACAAGAAATTAAACAATATGAAAACTACACTGAATAATACACCAGTATTATCAGGGTAGGGTTAAGGTTAAGAATAAATAGTTCTATGAATTTGACGCTCATCTTGTTTTGCTAATAAGGTGTGACAAGTTGAACCAATGCATATATGTGCCTGGTCCTATGTTGTAACTGACTGGCTGACATAAAATGAATTTCAGTTTTCGTATAGTCAAGGCTTAAAAAAAACACCTTAATATACACCTTTTAAAATTTTGTACAACATTACAAAGGCTGACTTGATATAAACAGTATGACCAGTCTCAATCAAATGTTTCGCAATTGTGAAGGATATTTGCCTATCCTGTGTTCTTATTTGACTGTTGGAATTCATTTATTTTTGCAGCCATTTAGGTATGTGTTTGGCTACCCTTATTCGCAGCTCGCCATTGCTCCTTCCTATGTACGTGTTTTTACACATACACATAAATTGATAGACAAAAGGGGATGTGACAATATCGCTTACATGCTGTTTAAATTTTCAGTTAAACATGAACCTTGACTTTTCGATAAGGAGTAGTTGGGATACATAGAACGTCCTGTTGATAGTTAGTTAAAGTATTCATTTGAACATGAGACTATTTGAGACACCTCTGAATAGTACGATATTATAGACTCGTTTTTCGGGTTTCATAAACGTCATATCTCTCATCATATTAATGTCTTCCCAACGGCTCATAAACTTCAATAAATGACCATTATTCATCAATGTTTCAGTTAAGAGCCTCACGTCTCCCTCAATAGTATCGCTAGTACAAATACGACTGATCCTATTAAATAAGCCTTTTAATAATCCACGTTTGTACTGAGTTGAACAGTGGCTATAAAAACTAAGATATTGGCCTGTTCATAACGACTTTCTATATTCGCAACGTGGAGCCATCATCTCTTCTACCAATCATTATGTCTAGAAAAGGGAGCTGATTATTCATCTCTTCTTCGTATTGTAAAAGAAATGTTTTTTTAAAAAAATTTATTTTGAGTCCCCTTAATAAGCAGATTACATCTTAATTGAAATCCCTTTTATGTGTTCAAAAACAATTTATTCTTAGCCTTAACCCTACCTTGATAATACTGACTTATTATCCACTATAGTTTTATTGTTATCATCTTTGTTTCCACTCACTTTTTAATTCTTCTTATATAAGTGTACTTAATAAGTATATGTATGATCAGATTGTTTGAAATGTATTGCATAAATATATCATATAATTCTGATAACCTTCGTCTTATCGTATTATTTAATATAATATTGCATAATGTATTCGAGTGTTTTGCTACATTATTTCTTGCAAGATGTCGAAATTCATTCATTTTATGATCGAGATCGTGAAACGATTGATGTTGTATCACCATTGAAAACCTGGAAGCAGTGTACGGCCGTTTCGTCCTATTGTGGGACTCCTCAGCAGTGCGCTTCCACGATCCCGCTCTCGGGATTCGAACCCACGGCCCTCAGTCTCGCGCACGAACCCTTAACCTCTAGACCACTGAGCCGACTGGCATCCAACAGTGTTTATGTCTAACCTCATCCAATTCATTTTACATTGACAGATCTATTTACTTTGTAAATAATGCAAAATTATGGTCTTTTTCACAGTTATGGCTGAATATCTTAAGGCTGTATTGGATGAAGTTCTTAATTTTCATTTGGTGAATCTCAGCTTTTTATTTCAATTCGAGTTGCTTGAATATTATGAATTAGATACATAAAGTGTATATGTATTTGTGAGTAGTTGTGAACCAACGATTAGGTTTCTGAATTGTTAATGTCATTTGCTCACTTAAGTTGATTTAATAATGACTCGATACCACCAAATTAGTGGATATCAAAAAACAGAACAAATCAGTCGGTTATAAAAGTTACGTTTACACATACCAATTTTCATTCACCTTTTAAAAGCTATGCTGAGGAATGTTCTGAAATACGTTTAGAAAGTGTTAGATTTGTTCAGGCTATATAACTTGCCCCTCAACAACAAGTAAACTTATAGATTCACATCGATATGGCCCTAACATATATGTGAATAGCAGACCTGCTTAAGAAGAAGACAATATGAAGCTTAGTTGAGTAGAAATTTTTTTATAAAGTATTTTGTAGCTCATCTATTCAAGATTTCTGTAGCCTTTAAATTCGATATTCATTAAAGTAGCTTTCTTTTGAACTTTTAACGGTCTTTTAGCCCGTAATTTTGGGTGGTAAGTTTCTATTGATGAATCAGGATAGATAGTCATTTACGATGAATATTTGTTGTCAAAATGAAAACAGTTGATTGTATGTTGTTTCATTACGGCATATTTGCCTAGTCGTTTACTTACTCTTACTGGACAAGTTACCTTTAACATAAAAAGCAAACGCTTTACAAAAATATGCTGATTATTAATAAGAAAAGTAATCATGATTAGATGTTATTTAAAACATGGACAGTTACATGATATGGGCTTTGTGAGTCCACTCCCTAGCAAATGGAATTGAAAACTAGCTATCAAGTTTTGTTCTTGTCAGCGATTTAGCTAGTTAGTACCTGTGTTAGACTTTACGTCTAAAGTACGGCTCAAGTTGAAGTAACATAGGATTGTAATTTGATTACTGAACTATATTGATTGTTGTAATTATTCTCAGTTATTACTATAAACATTTTCTTGAAGATTGTTGAATTTACATTGAATCATCAACGGGGATCAAACCCTCAATCTTCAAGTTTGTAGCAAGCACTTAACATTCAGACAATTACTTAGAGTCATACAATGACTTGGGTTTTCTTCTTCTTCATATTCAGTTACTTTAAATTCATATCGATCATGCAGTCTATTAACTTGAATTAACTTTGTTGAGTTGCCAGTTCATATTCATTAGTATTGTTTTTTCGGAAAGGTTATGCAACATAAATCTGATAATTGTAGCTAATGGGGCGTTTATATATATATATATATATATATATATATATATATATATATATATGTGAATACATTTACTATTATCAGTACATGTAATTCCTATCGTAGTACGTTTGCATTTCCTTTCATATACTGATAACCATAATCAAATTGTTCATACTACATATATTAGGATTATAATGTCGACGATGTACAGACTTTAAATTATTTTTGGAAAGCCATTAATGAATATTGTAATCTACTTAGTCTATTCTTAGTTTGTATTTATGGCACATATGTTGATTGGAATTGAATATAACAGTTTTACGTTTCTATCATTATTTAAAGTGTATATTTTGTTTCGTTTGGTATTGTTTGTTTGAATCCTTCCATTTATGTTTAGGACTGCAATTGATCAGTCTCTTATAGGTATATGTGTATCGTGTAAGGATTGCCTCGATAATGCTTTAAGTGGAATCCAAGACACGAACTTCATCCTATTTAAGATTCATCAACTGGATGTACCTGCATCCCAGAGTTCGAGTCCCTGAGTGAACATCAACTCTAGGATGCAGGTACATCTGGCTGATGAGTCCCAAATGGGACAAAATTTGCGTCTTGGATTCCACTACCAGCCACCATTCGTTTATACCTATAATGTATGTTTCGTTGCTTACATATTTTTTGACCCTAATCTTGGCTCTGTACACTACTACTATTAATACTAATGTTTTTTTAAATAAAAAAACGGTTAACTGATTTATGTTTTTACTTTTCCATACAGACAATGTAATTGAAAAGAGTTCTTCCAAACCATCTTCAAATGAATCTGACGTATTCATCGTTGATTCAACACAGGTCAAGTCGTTTTTGACAGACAAATTTCTATTTATTATATTATTACACGTATTTTTACTGAAATAGTTTTTAATCTGGATTAAGGTTAGTTTTCTACACAATATCTAGGTAATAATGTCTACTTTGACGTTGGAATTTCGCGAACTATATTCATTCCAAAGTTATTTTACACCAAGTATTTTTAAAGATAGGGAAGCGCTTAACAGGTATGTTGTTTTAGTATGAGACCGTTTTAGTCAATTGGTTCTTTGACCTCGTCAAAAATCAGGTCTATGAACTTGGGGCTTCGTGAGGAACACCCTACCTTTAGCTTATCGTATCATATATATTTTTTCACAGTTGAAATCACGAACTGATTTTAGCTAGTCCATCATTGATAACCTTGAAGTATTAGACGGACACTTTGTCCTAATACGGTACTACTAAGCAGTGTGCATCCACAATTTTGCACATGGCACTCTAACCCTTGACCTTCAGTCTCGCGCGCAAACTCTCAACCTCCAGATCACTAAGGGTTGTTTAATATCATGGACTGATTGAATTTAGACATTAACATCGCTGGATCCCAGCTCAGTGGTCTAGAGTCTGAGCATTCGTGCTCGAGACTTAAGGTCAAGGGTCAGAGTGTCACGTGCGGGATTGTGGATGCACACTGCCTAGTAGTTCCATATTAGGACGAAATGTCTCTTTGGTGCTTCCAGGTTTTCAATGGTGGCTTAGCTAAGATCAGTCCGTGAGTTCAACTATGAAAATACTACAATCTCCACAAGTACTCCATATATATATCAGATAGTTCACATTTCTAACTGACAGCAAAGATTTCTTTAGGTTCTGTATTCTATCCAAATTCGATAGCGATGACGTCTAATTTGAAGTTGATAATGCAGTTAATATATTCCATCAATACATCGAAATTCTCATATTAACTCGTTATATACTAAATAAATTGAATAATTCCTGCCATCAAAATTTATCTATTTTGTAAGTAGGAGTATTTTCGGATGCTGTTTTATACTTGGAACTGTTTGTATTATCAGTAAAATTCAATAGTCTTCACAATTTTATGCTACTACTTATAAGTAGTTTAGATAGTTTCAGTAAATATTTAAATGGACATTTTTAAAAATGACTCTTGCACGAGTACTTAGTCTATTCTTTTTCAAATATCATTTTTACAGTTACCTAAAAGTTTAGATCGTCTTTCCAATGCTAGTTCATCAATTCAAAGTGAAAATTCACTTGAAATTGGTTTTGAAGTGAAAGATGATCTTGACGACAATATACCTGGAGCTATTGAAATTCCAGCAGTTGATTCTATGCATATACGTAGTTATGGTACAGCTCATACATACAATAATCAATATGGTCGATCGAATCCATGTCATAGTATATATAAAACTGCTCATAGTTTATATCCTAATACTACTACTAATATAAATAATAAATTTACATATCAACAAATATGTCCAAATACCACTTTATGGAATCCTTATAATTATGATAGAACTGAATTAATACATACTACTCAATTAAAAAATTACAATAATCTGTCAACTACTGCTCCAAATTGTGACATCTATTTTAGGACTTGATATTATTTAGTGATTTGTTATTGTCTTTGTTTACAATTGCCTTCAATTTCATTTATTATTATTATTATTATTATTATTATTATTATTATGATTATTATTATTACTATTATTCTCTAAACATGTTTATCATGTTTATTTATTTAGCTAATTTCAATTATTATTTTCTTTGCTATACACATCATTTGATGCATAAAGAAGTTACATTTTGTTGTAGAGCTTAAAAACGAACTAGATTTTATTTTATAATTAATCAATGTGAAAGCATCAAAAAAGAAAGAACAAATATTGTCGGGATTTGAATATCACGAAAATAGTTTCACTTTTCTTTGTAAATATATATGTTGTTATCTATTTGAATAAAACTGTGGTTATCTTTATTATTCTCCATTGATTATAATACTATTGGGGGTTGATTGATAAGAATGATAGGGTCCCCAAATGCCCTTGTATACGGCCGAGGATGAGGAGAATCAGCTCTCTGTCTTGAAATGCCTTTATCTGGCCACGTATATACAGCCTCTGCCAGGGAAGTCCCACTCACTGCTTTCTTGCGGCATGTTCTGGAAGAGATAATCCTAGCTTTGTTATTCGGTGATGTTCGTAAACCAATATTCCACAACTGAATTTTTGGCACAATAAACACACCATTGTACTGAAGTATACTGCGGTTGATTAATCACTTATGCCTAGAACAACTCCACATCCAAGCATCAGTGGTCCTGCCACGTTGAAAGAAATAATGTGATACATCGCTTAAATTATTTGTTCAGAACATAACTCAGTAGTAAGTCTTACTTTGTACTTCCAATAGAATTCAATATGCAACAAAGCTGCTATACCAGTTACTTGGATGCCAACCATAAAAATCGTCGAAATATGGACAACATCACGTTTTTTTATAGGCCGTATGACTCCTAGAGAATGCAGCATAACATACTGATGACCTTGAGGTTCCTTTCTGCCAGTCAGAAAACAGCACCTAGTTAAATCGAGTTAACAGCAGGAAGCCATATTATAAGAGTGGTATGATAACTTCTATCTCAATGATCAACTCATATGTCGAATTATTATTTTTAGTAAGACAAAACCGCTACGTTTCGCAGGTCGAGTATCGAAGTAGTGTTTTTAGCTAGGGTTATAGTCCTATGAAGTTTTCATCATCTACTAACTTCAGAGATAATGCAAAAAGTTTGAGTATTAGGGTTCGGGCTGGAGTTCTGGGGTGATTTTACAAGCTGTTGAAGGTTTTCGTTGCAAACTGACGTCAGCTATCATGTGATATATGTTACTCTTCCGTTTGCAAACATATGTGTTGTATCCAAATGAAGATTAAATTACGAGTAACGTCTGAGACCTAATAATTGGGTAATATTAGTTATATATTCTTATGGTATAAATGTTCAGTAACTAGATTATGTATATCTATATCCCCACTGTTATAAGCTTTATTTTGACCTATATATTATTATTGTACAATTTACTGTTCTCAAGCTATGTTCAGTTTATTGACTACTGCCTCCCATGTTCACAGTCACTTTTGCTTTATTGTGTATGAATGTTATTTCCTATTTTATGCTGCGTTGCGGTCTGTTTGTTTGGTATATAAACGGAGTATGTCTGAAATAAATGATTCACATAGAGGATGCTGTTATTGGCATTCTGGACTCAGCTGGACGGGCTAGGCGAGCAACGGACCAATAGGACGTTAAGCTGATCAGACCGGTCGGACGTCATTGGTTTAATACAGTATAAGAGCGAATAAGTTTCATTTTGATTGGCGAATGGATTACATGATAACTAGCGGGCCATAAAGTCACAACAATATGAAACTTGGAATTAGAAGTAGAAATAAGAACCAGAGAAGAAAAAAATCTGACATCGCGCAACAATCTCGACTACGTATTGAATCACGTCAAGTACTTTGCCATACATTATGCCTTAGGAAGATGTATGTTCTGGAATTCAGCCCAAGCACCATTTTAGATCCAACTTCTAGCTGCATGAAAGAGATTTTGATGGACAAACATTGCCGGCATTAGCTTCCTTTTTAATAACAATAGGGTTTTCTATCACTTGACTTTAAATTCTGCCCAAGATACACTGGGCTTCATCGTGGTTTTGAGTAGCATAAGCAAAGCCGTCAATACAGCGTAGTTTTCCTAGTATCAATAGCTCATATTTTTCACTCAGAATCCACATGACGTCATCTGTTGTACCGAATATTACGACCTGAGTTCCATAGATTTTTGTTCACCAACATTTTGTCATCCTGCTTCTGCAACGGAATTTTTTTTAAACGCGTTAACAATACTAAGTGGACGGGTTTTTCAGCAGTAAATATCGCAACATCTACTTTGGATCTTCCACGTTCATCGACGATGTTGCCTACTTAAAAGTTTCCAGAGTTTCTGCATCAACTGTGATTCGGTTGATGGTTCTCCGTGTTGTATTTGAGGATCTTGATTTTCGCTTGTGTATGTTGAGGCCTGCTGCTGCAGAGTCTACGGCTACACTGGCTTTCTTTACCTGCCTTTTTTGGTGTGTATGGAATAGAAGGGTCAGGTCATCCGCGAAGTTCAAATCATGCAAGCTTTTTATTGTATTCCGTGTTTCCTCTGAGGTATATTCTTTGTAATCCAGTCGACCGACAGAAGAAAGAGAAAGGAAGAGGGTAGGCAGTCTTGTCTGACACTGATGTTTACTTGCAATGCATCTGTGAGTTCTCCTCCGCGCACGACCTTGAAGTGTGGTCCGTCGTGTGAAATCTGTATGATATTGATGATCTTCTCAGGAACATCATAGTGTCGAAGATGTTTCAATGAATTTCTCCTATCCACACTTTTGAATGCTTTCGCATAATCGATCAGGATGATGTATACGGACAAACTCCATTCACTTGGTTGCTCATCAATGATTCGTATTGTTGCGATTTGGTTTGTGCACGACCGATTCTTACGGAACCCAGACTGTTCGTTTTGAAGTTAAGCATCTACTGAATCTTTCACTGTTGAAAGCCTTTCCTGATACTGATAGTGGTGTGATTCCCTTGTAGTTTTCCCGTCTGCTCAGATCTCCGTTTTTGGTGTCTTGATGAGGTGTCCATGTTTCCAGTCCACCGCCTCTTGGGTGATTCAAATACAATCAATTTCGTTCTCTGTATTGTGATCAAATAGTAACCATGTAGCTTTGTGTATTCATTTGTAGGGGTATATTGTGCTGTTTATGATCATTTTAACGAATGCATATGGATTTGAAAATCCTTTACCATTCCACTTCCTTTTTCTCAGTCAGTTCATATTTTCGCATTATATATTCGCACCCGGTGTTGTCCATTCCGACTCTCACGTTTAGATCTCTTATCAAGTTATTCCAGTACTTCAAGCACTGTTATAAGACTGACTGCATCCTCTCAGGAAACTGATCTTCATTATGCTCATCTCTATTATTGGCGATTGTTTTGCACTGGTTAACATTCATTGTGGTCCTCTCCTTTGTTTCGGGGGATGCTTTGATTATCCTGCATCCATGAGAATCCCATTCTACAAGTGAATTTTGCGCTTTTTGGACAGCGTCAATGAAGGTCAGTTTATAGGTCATTGTTTTTCCTCATTCAAAAGGTCAATTACTAGAATCTAGTTTTGAAACGAATCGCAAACTTTTGTTAATGGTATAGATTACTGTCATATTGTTTTGTTGTTACAAAAATTGCTATTTCAGACATAACTACCGTATTTGATGTTTCCATTCTAGAGTCGCAGTCAGGATATAAACATATTCTTTGCACTTCTTATGGATTACAGCTATGTTAATTATGCATCAATTTGAACATTTTTATACATTGTCAAAACACTGATTACGGTTTTATAACTCGTAGCTATGACAGACAACAACCAGTTTTCATAAGGCACAACTAATATCGAGGATATTGTTAGTTTTGTTTGATTGGTAGATTCACAAATCTGCTTTGTTTAACTACTTGTTTTCTCAAAATAATTTGTACTCACCTACTCTCTACTGGTCGTGTTGAAAAAGATTATTAGGGAAGCACTACATGCTTTGAAGCATTTAGCTTCTTTCCATGTAATTTTTCCATTTATACTCGTCGTGTTTATGACTGGAACGTGACAGTACTTGTTAGCGGAAAACGCCTTGTCCAGATGATATTTGCCTCAATAGTAATATATTTCCGACACGTCAAGTTAACTGTTGAAGTTTTACACTTATTTTCATACGTCTCACTCAATACACTGCTCTTCGTTCTCTTACGCACATGTTGAACGTCATAATGAATATCATAATCACCCCAGCAGTTAAACATTTGTCCCCTAATGTGTGAAACTCAAAGGGTTTCTGTACGTTGACTAAAAATCTCCATCACGCTTATTTTATATTGTGCCGAGGCCGTATAAAAACATAGATCATTCGCAACCTATGGTTATTGCAATAGATCCAAATCCATTAACAAAGTAGAAAACGTGAGGCCAAAAAACATGCTGACCAATACACAACATACTCTGGCCTCATTACAACTTGATTAGACATGCACCATGTACTCGGGTTTATTTATTGCTAACTTGCATCTCGCCCATATATATAAACAAAACCAACAACAAACCGTGTAGCTCGGAATCATTTAGTACTTCTTAAAGTTTACTCAAAAGCGTCAGACACTGTGCACAGCTTTTAGAAAAAGCGGCTAACCCTAATCCATCAAAAGACTGACAGTGGGATACTCTTTATAACGCCTTACAGGCTATAAGTCCACCTGCAACAAATGGTTCACTGATGTAGATCGAGACTGTTCACTTCAAGATAGTATTTTTCTCACATATATATATACATATGCATGTTGTAATGTAAGTATCTCATAAATAGCTTCTACCACTCACTTATATTCATCGTTTGATGAACAAGCGGATCAAAATCAAACGGCTAGTATGCATATTTAATCTGTTTTAGAATGTCTGGGTTCTTACTATATTATCAAGTGAAGAAAAGTTATTCCGAACTCATTACATGAACATATATTCAGAAATCACGATGAAAAAATATATATGTTGGTTTGCGAATAGCATACTTAAGAGCACCAATAATAAGGCTGAGTAAATGGTTTTTCTAATAGTAAGACCAACCGATTTCAAACATATCCGGTTTTACTCTTATATTCTAAACAAAAGCTTGAAAAAATCAACCTCGTGATGGCGAAGGGTAACTCATATTATTTTTAAGCAGTTCAATGTCTTAGAATTCCACCTGATAATTGAATGCACCACGTTCACAGCTGTAGTATTTTTTAAGTGGTCTGAACGACTAACCACGTGGTTCTCAACCTGGTTATCGTCATCTGCCGACAGTAGATGCGAAACATCGTCCTTAA